CAATTTTTTTATACAAGCGAATACTTACACACTTTGAAACCTACACATTTTTATTATTTTCCATTTTTCTTGTTTCTATGTTGTCCAATGTATCAATCTTTTGTTTAACAACAATGTATTCATATATATATATATATACACACGATATTGTATTCATTTTTTTTAATAACAACAATGTATTCATTTTTCAAATTATCATGTTTATATGTTAATTGTCATACTTTACCTTGTTTGATATATTAATACATTAAGTTTTTATAAATACTTGTATCCTTGATATATTAATACTTTAAGTCTTATAAATAGAGATACCAATTTGAATTCAAAGTATTCATATGCTACACAATTAATACATGTTCCTTATTTAGTTCTATTGTAATTAAAACTATATTAGTGTATAAATAGAAAAATAAAAATATATAAAGAAATATAGCTAGAAAAAGATATAAATTGTAGTCATTTTTTATAAATAACATACTTATAGCTATTGAACTTCAATAACCCTATAAATATAGTCATTTTTGTAAGTTGCTCTAAAACATAAGTGATATATGTGGTTTTTTTGTGAAGGCCTGGCCCTATAGCTTTTACTTGGCCCAATATCTATTTGTGTGATATTCTTGTTGGTTTCCCTATTAGGCTGTGGATGATTCATTACAAAAAGTCAAAAACTAACCTCATGAAGTCGATTTTGATTAGAAGTGATCACGTATGCAATAGAGGATTAGCTTTGTATGGTAGTTTGAGAATTTTATAACCAAATGTGTAGATTATGTTGGATGATTTTGTAATCACGAAAATTGTTATAGCTTGAGGCATAATTATGACATTATCCTTAAGAATATTTCACCGATTATAGGTGCATTCCTCAAAATTCAACAAGAATTTACGTCTCTCGATCTCTCATTTTATGTTTAGTCCATGTAGACCGGGCTCGTTGTGAATGATTTAATTGGTCCAATTGTTGTACCTAAAGCAACGCTAACTTCCTATGGTTGATGCTCTTAAGTTTAAATGGTGCATTGCGTATCATTTCATTCAAATTTGAAATCAATATAATTTTGATGTATATATCTATGTGCGTCTCATTTTCATAAATACTAGCTTGTGAGACAAGTGTTATCTAGTCACTTGTGTGAAATCTTTTTTATTTCTATGTGAGTTTTGTGATGTTATTTCTCTGGATATTTTTGTATTTGATTTAATTGGTCCAATTGTTGTACCTAAAGCAACGCTAACTTCCTATGGTTGATGCTCTTAAGTTTAAATGGTGCATTGCGTATCATTTCATTCAAATTTGAAATCAATATAATTTTGATGTATATATCTATGTGCGTCTCATTTTCATAAATACTAGCTTGTGAGACAAGTGTTATCTAGTCACTTGTGTGAAATCTTTTTTATTTCTATGTGAGTTTTGTGATGTTATTTCTCTGGATATTTTTGTATTTGATTTTATG